CTTTCAAACAACTCCAGACAAACCCGCAGTAATGCACTGGAAAAACATGTGGTCTGGGTCCACAGGTGCTCCACAAAGCCCGCACATCCCATTTCCTGGGCATCTCCTTTTTTGCAATTGGATCCTCGAAGGAAGTTTATCCAACAAGAGTTTCCACATGAGATTTTCATAGGAAGTTTAACTTCCCCAAAACCCCTTCTCAAATTAATGTACCCCCTTCAGGATAAGCTTTTTGTGCATAGAACTAGTTGAAATAAGTTCCAGATTTGTGCATATTAGTGTACCCCTTTTCATAGGAAGTTTAACTCCCCAAAACTCCTTTTTGTGTAAGACGCCAGCTAACCTCATCCTCTCCTCTGAAATCAGTACCAGCAATCTCAGCTAACAAAGTAAGCCATAGATTGAGTTCACCTCATCCAAGTTCATCCTAAAGGGGACAAACTATTCCCCTGAGGCTTGAGCTTCAGATACCCTGAGATCTGGGTCACATCATTTGCTGAAAAGAGCTGGAAAATGTTTGCAGCAGGTGTCATTTTCTAACCACAGATCGTTCCAAAAGGAAGTTCTCTCCCCATTTCTCACATGATTGTAGTTCCCATGTTTGGATGATGTTTAACTTTGCTCACACTCCCCCAAAATTGAAAAGAGTTATTACTAGCAGCCCCACAACTAACAATATCCCCCCCCCCCTCCCCTTCAGATATTTAGCATTGATAAGAGGCATCCATAAAGGACTCGCCTCTTGCTGAATTTCCCAAACCACTTCAAACTCAAAGGTACATTCATGATCTTGGTGTTAAGAATCCCCAAGCACAGATTCTTTTGGAGTAAAACTTTCGTCCAATCAACCATATGGTGTTTGAATATCTCCCCAGGCCCCTGCCACCTGCCAGAAAAATCTAGACCGTCCATCTTACCATGCACCCCATCCTGTAACAAATAAAGCCCATCAATAACATTGGAGAGGCTGATAAGCAAGAGCTGATCTAGACAAATCTCCCCCCTGAGGTAAGACATTTCTCTTGCTAAGTCTCTACCTTATGAGCCATTCTATCAACCACCCCTTGCAGATCAGCAACATGTAGTTATGGTCAGAAATAGTAATCCCCAGATAAGTCATGGGCGAGGAACCCAGAGCACAGTTAATCAAGTTTGCTACCCTCTACTGTTCCTAAACATCACGTCCCAACACAAAAACTTTACTGTTATGGTAATTTATCTTCATCACCAACATCCCCTCAAAACTGTACAGGAGAAACTTAATATTAATTATATCAAGATCAGTCTTCTGAAACAGCAACGACCTGTCATCAGCATACTGTAAATGAGAGACTCCCCCGGGTATAAGATGGTCAACAAGCCAATGGATGTGGCCAGCTTACTTAGCAGCATTGAGCATAGTGGAGAGACTATCTACCACAAAATTGAAAAGAATAGGTGACAAGGGGTTTCTCTGTTCCATTACCAAAAAAGGTCCTTGCTCCTCATTAATGTTAATAGCTGTTTTACCACCCATCAAGAATTGCTTCGCTGGGTCCAAAGCATTTTCTGTCAAGCACTTCTGAGAAACTCCCAACTTACCCTGTCATAGGCCTTTTTGAAGTCAAGTGTCAAGATCACCCCTGATAGCTTCTTGATGTGCACTTAATGGATAATTTCATGGAGCATTATCACCCCATCAAGAATATTTCTCCCCTTTATAAAGGCTGTCTGGCAAGGGTCAATAATTCTATTTGCAATAGGTGTCACTCTAATAGTACAAGCCTAGTCAAGATCTTAGCAATAGGTGTCATTCTAATAGTACAAGCCTAGTCAAGATCTTAGTGATAACATTCGGAAGTGTGATAAGCCTAAATTGCTTGGAATTTTAGGAATTAAAGTAAGCACCCCAAACTTTATCCTGTGAACCTGTAGAGTCCCCCTATGCAGATCATGAAAAATGTGCATCATCTGATGTTTCAAGTTCCCCAATTTTTTTCCAAAAAACAGGATAGAGAACCCATCAGGGCTGGGTACAGAATTGATGTTCATCAGCTTAATTGCAAACTCCACTTCATCTTCAGTAAAAGGTCTATACAGTTCTAGATTTTCTGATTCAGAGACTCATATTTCCTCCCCATGCATCGGCAGCCAACAACATGCCGCCTCTAGGTTCAGCCCCAAACTGTCTCTTGTAGAAGTCATAGATATGGTCAGAGAGCACCTGTTTAGCACTAATCACCTTTTCCCCATCAATGAATTAAAGAAAAGATAGAACACTTTCTTCTTTTGTTAGCCACCGCATGAAAGTAAGCTGTCTTACAGTCACCCTGAACAATCCATTTCTCTCTCCCCCTCTGCTGCCAATAAGCTTTTTCTGCTTTACAAATACCGATCAACTCCTGTTGCAAGCTGCCATTCCCAGCAGAGTGTCCAGAACTATCAAGAACACTATCTTTCTTAACTCTTCTCTCCCAAAATTAGCTTCCAATCCGTCAGAAATTTTCTAAGCTCAATAGAACAGAAGTTCCAGTCATCCAACGCATTCCACCTCCTATGTAGCCTATTTAAGTATTCTTCCCATTTATAAATTACTCGATCTTTAAATCCCTCCTCTGGTAGCCATTGTTTTTCAAAGAACCTTTTGTGGCCATCTAACTCAGAAGGTCGAGGTAAAGGGAACCAATTCTGGTCACAGCTTGCAAGTTACAAAGGGTAAACATGGCTCCTAATCACAAGATATCAGCACTCTATCCAGCACACATCTAACATAATCTAATTGCTTGTTAGTCCAAGTAAATCTAGCTTCTCCCCTAGATAACTATCACATTCAAATTAGCAATACAAGCATGCTGCCATCTCTGATTGATATTGCCGGAGTTTTTTCATGAGCGCCCCTAATAAGATTGAAATCCCCACCCCCTCCCCCCAATAACAATGGGCACATCGGAACCTCTGATTTATTTTCATGCCCCTCTACAAACTGATCAGCATAAGAGTGATCAGCAGGACCATACACCACAATTAGCTCCCATTTTCTTCAGGCCCTGTTTGGATTGCCGTTTTTCTTTTAAATACACCTGTAAAAAATACACGTATGCACCCACCGGTTTTGTTTCCAGTCGGAAAACACTTTAGTCCGGTAAGATACACTTATAAATTTAGTACCCGCGTATTAAATTACACCGATACCAAGCGTGGCCTCAGGGTATCCCTTTGGAACAGTAACATGGTAGGAAATATCTCCCCTTTGAAATGTTACCTACTTAAAAAAAGATTATCATTAACTCCAGCTAGGATCCTCCCCGTATCACCCATGAGCTAAGCACCGCACAACTGGTGGGTTCCTGGAATGCAGTAGGTACAGCAAAACCGTATCTGCACTGCAACTGCATTTATTTGCGTTCATTTCTTTACCTACTGTCATTGTAGATCTTCATATGGACAACCAGATGCTTTTCTTTGATTAAAGCAAGTTCTGCGTATTTGCGTTCATTTCTTCAGCTACTGTCTTTGTAGACCTTAAATACGGCTAACAGGGCGCTTTTCTAAACGACAGGTATCTGTGCTCGTTATGAAAAGAAAATCATGGATATCAACCCGATGGCCAGGAACTTCACTTATGACATCACCGACCTGTACAATTTCATCGATGGACTAGCGGACATCAGTGCCCTAGTGTGAGTACAATTTCACATTAACTTTCAGAGCGTTGAATCACAAAAGCAAAACAACTAACCATACATTGGTCTGCCCCTGCAGGTATGATCATCAACTTCAAGCTTTTCTGCCGTACGACAGGCAGTGGATAAAACAGAAGATGTTCCAGCACCTCAAGAACCAGGCACGGCAGTAGCCAGCCGCTGGTTCTGATTAACAAAAGCAAGTGTACAAGGTGGTATCTGTCTGTTGTTTGTAGTTTCGGGTTGGTGTGAGAGATCTAGGGTTCATGTGCTAATTGTAAGAGAGAAGACGATCGATTTGCTTGGCTATCTGCCATTTCTGATGTGACACCGTAGTATAAATGAAGGGCTTTGCCTGTGTGTCTCTGACCATGAACGGATGAGCGATTCGTATGATAATAAATTGATCACTTTGTCTTCGAATGTGGCAACACTTCATCCTCATTCAAATTTCAGTTATTCAATGAACCTGGGAAAGGAACTTATGTATCAAGAGAGAAGTTCTTATGCAAAGTCAATTCTTCCACATATTACACGCAAAAAAAAAAGTTCTTCCACATATCATCGTCAATTCTACCATCCAAAAATGAGGTAAAGAAAAGACTGTTTTCACCACCAAATTCTGCCAGATGCACAGGGCCTGGGGAGTGGTGAGTGTAGAATATGCAGAGCACCACGTGCACTGAAATACTAGCACTTCAAACCTACAAAGAACAGTCTTTTCAAAATGCAAACACATCTCAACCATAACCTTGGTGAAAGTTACAGGAAGAGACTGATAATCAGGGACGATTCTTCGATATAGAAGGAAAATGAAATTACTATTTCAACTCAATTGAAGGGAATGGGAAGAAACAATGAATAGAAAAATGAACTGCTCAATACATGATTGAATGGTTTGATATTGTATATCCTATCTTGTTTAACACAAGGAAAAAGAAGAAGAAAATATGTGATTCGCTTGCTACGGCTGCTTTTACGTATACAAAATACAGATAAACAGACAGTCAAAACAGTGTACATACTATACTAGTAAACATCATTTTGTTAGACAGCTACGGAGGAGTAGAGGCGTATAGTCAGAAGGTCGGGGCGTAAATGGATCATGAATCGACCCTCTTACGAACGGGATGATCACCCAACTGTTCTGGTCTTGTTCATCAGTGGGATCAGCTCTACATCATCTCCTAAATCATCAGTAACTTTGATTCTTTCATCTTGAACATCCTCAATGGAAGGATGACAACTTGAATCATCCGCAACAACGACGGAAAACTGAGCACTGCCCGATCCATCCTTGACAGCTTCTGTAGGTTCGTCATCGTGAAGCATCTCCGCAGGAAGGAGCGTCGAGTTCTGGTCGCTTTCAGGGACAAGAAACAGCAGCATCAGCGGAAGCAGCCTCGAGACGTTTCTGATCAACACAACCGCCCAAAGGTTACTGAACTCCGATCGAGTCACATTCAGCGTGTGCAGCAGCAGGCCACCCCACCAGGCAGACATAAGCAGCCCCACATTTTGTATTGACATGAGCAGCGCATAGAAGGTTCCTTCGATGCCCGGAGGGCAAAGCTTGGAGCAAAGCACGAGAACCGGCATCCACTGAAGCTTGCCGACCATTACAGAAACGCCGCAGTCGATCACCGCGAAAACGTAGTCTGGTATGCCGATCTTCGTGTTTAGTCGGGTCACTAGCGCTAGATCAAGCATCCCTGTCAGGCTTGACAGCACCTGACCCCATAAAAGCATGCTGCGGAAATTGTAGTCCTTTAGAGCACTTTGGTATAGCACAACCCCGAGTAGTGAACCCACTGCACCGACTGCATAGATCACACCGATAAATTCCTGTCACAATGCAAATGTTCCATGAGTTTCTTTGACAACAAATGAGTATCATAAATCTCGGTGTAACCTATAGCACATCCATGCAAATTTGGTTAGGATCTGATTGGGACTGCTATTTTGGAACATTTGAGCAGATTGGCAGGCCATCTTCAGAAGCTTATTAGTCGAATTTGAATTTACATTGCTTTAGCTATATTAAGATATAGTACACAAATACCATGTTCATCTACTTATGGATGCTACCTAAAGAAATTATGTTGCATCAAAGTGGCCAGGCATCTGTTTGAAACACCAATAGAGATTTTACCATTAATGCCATGTTTTTATCTTTTAGATTCCTAATCTGTGATGATGATATGTGCACACCTCAGAAAATCCTGGTCCAGTTCGTCGATCTGTGTACCAGTAGAACATTCCTCCTTGGATGTCCAGGCTTAGATTGAGCGAAACATATATGTACAAACACGGGCGCCAGACTTCAGGGCACTTCAGTGTTGTCCCCATTGACTGAATTGCTTTGTAGAACTTCTTATGAACCTGATTTAGCAAAGGCCTTAAATGTCATTAGTGTGCAAAGACTGCATTCAGCAATTCAACCCAACAAAAAGGTTGAGTGTGCTGTCTGACCTGCTTGTAACTGAAGTTTGTCACTCGGCTCTCCTTCAGCAGAATCCCAGCTGAGAACACCAGTGCTGAGGGGATGCTCAACAAGCCAAGAGCCCCCTTCAAACAACAAGCACAAGACATATCATTCTCCGAGAACATCGAATTCGCATGCTGCGGCATGTGAGGAACAAGGATTGATAGCATATATATTAGCTTAACAGGAGACCCAACGGACCTGGGCTCCCATGGAGTGGACAAGAAGGCCGCTGATGGAGTACCCGATCAATGACCCAAATGAGGAGCAAAACCCACACAGGCTCTGCATGTCGGCGGCGAGTGGCGGGTGTGTTATGCTGTTCTGCGCAACCAGGGCGTCCAGCGTCACGTCGGCTATCGCCGCCCCTGCGCTCTGCGCCGTCAGGGCTAGGACCGCCGGTATGAGCCCCAGATTGCTTTGCAGGGAAATCATAAGCATAGATGTGGCGCCAATCACGCCTGCATTAACCTCAGAACACAGAGCATCAGGATGCCAACCCTGAAAATGATGTTGAGTCTGCCTGTGTGTGTGTGTGTGTGTGTGGTGGAATCAAGAAGAGATCCCCAAATATTTTCACCTGCGAGAAGGAAGTAGGGGCGGCGGCGGTATCCGGCGACGGGCACGACGTCGGTGAGCAGGCCCCAGATGGGTTTGACGACCCACGGCGAGTCGACGATGCCCTGGTAGAACTGCGCCGCGGACGGCTGGAGGCGCAGCACGTCCTTGCTGTAGTACGAGGCGGCGACCACCCCGACGGCGTTGCCCACGCCCTGGCAGGCCCCGTAGACGGCGAAGACGGCGAGCACGAAGCTCCAGTGCAGCTCGCGGGAGAGCCGCCGCAGCCAGCGGAAGGGGGAGGCGATGCCGCATTCAGCGCCGCCGTCGCGGGGACCACTCTCGGCACCGGCGCCGCCAGCTTCTTCGAGTGGCCCGCCCTCCTTGGCGTCGGGATCCATCATAGGAACAGCAGCCCTCGAGGAACAATTTCTTCCGAGGCTTCTTGGGGATCTGCGGCGAAGCCACCGGAAACCGCGCGGCAGGAATGCGAGCCGCGGCGACCGGGCGGTTGGCCGCCGGGAGAGGCCGACGAGCACGAGATGCGTATATTTTCTTGGTGAGCTGACTGGCTAGCAGTAGCTGAGCACGAGGCGAAGTGTTCGACGGGTCTCCCGGTGTTTGGTTTGACTTCGACTCGCAAGTCGCAAATTGTTTCTACACTAACGAGAAGAAACGCTTGTGTCCTCGAAAAGTCAGGGCATTGTGCAGACACAGACGCCGGAGTTCATCAGAGAATGGGAATCTCCGAGAGGAAGTGGAAGGGAAAGGGAAAGGCCGTGATGATTTTCTGATTTGATTTGCCGGCATTGAGCGACGGTGATGTTGAAAGGCATTCACTCGCTATCAACAGATGATCCATGAAAAGGATCACACGTGATGTCACATTCTTGGCTATTGCTTTGCTGTGATTATTACAAAATGGATCCACTAGAACACCCTCGTGACTCGTGAGGGTATGACCAATGCATAGCTCCAGGATGATGACTCGCGTGCCGTGTAAGATCGGATATCAAGGCGAGTCTTTCTCTCACGATAAAAACGATGCCGTCTACACTACACGTGATTAACCTTCTTATTTACATGGCTCGAGAAAGTGAATACGACTGTTATAAATTCTTTCGCCAAATTGAATGATATGTAAGGCCCCTTGTTGCAAAGAGGGTTTCGGTGCTCAGAACCATTGCAAAAGTCACATTATTTGTCTTGATGTCATCACAGTCAAGATCTAACATAAAAAATGACATGACCATAGCAATGGGCTCAAGCATCAAACCCCTCTTTGCAAACACCAACTTACAGGAAGTGTTCACAACTAGTGTAAACACACCTGAAGCCACGTAAACAAGAAGGGAAGGTGCATGTGGTCCACGCTATTTCAACATGAGAAGAAGACTCACCCTCATCCTCACATGGGACCTCTAGTGCGAAGACCCTGGTAATCTTTGTTAAGCAACTGACGATACCAATTAAAGCCGCCCAAGTGAGGGTGGTTTAGTAGATCCATTCTAATGAAAGCATTCGTCAAGGGTTGAAGAGCATTGTCATACTCTCAGGCGACGGCTGGACCACCCTGGACAACCAGATGTCTGCAACAAATCTAAGATTATATCAATCAAAATAGCAACCACTTCTTGCAACCCAAGTTACATGAGTAACTTAGCAAGGGTAGACTACAAAGTACATATAAAGATTAACAATAGATATTAGCATGGGTAACCCCGTCTTTGTGACCACCTAACCAAAACTGGGCACTTTTTTGTGGCTTTGTGCATCGATTCTATATAGGGCCCCGGGGCAACATATCTCTACCCTCATCTAGAAAGTAAAAACTGGTGGATGTAAGAATAATGATAATAGGCAAAGCCAGGGCGGATGTTCAAGTTTGTCGGTATGCTCACCTCGAGTAACAAAAGAACCCCACTGTTGGACTCTAGGTACGAGACGAAACGTGCTCCGATGTCGAGCAACCATCGCCCTATTTCCATCTGCACCCCCTGGCGCCATCAAGGGACCAAAGAGGAGTTCGCGTGCCGCCCGAATATGAGAACAATGGAAATATTTAGTCAGGAAAGGTGGTTAGGGTTTCAGGGGGGTCTGGGGGATACAGGAGCACGAAGGCTAGGTGGATGAAGTTTGTGCGGTACACATGAACAAGAATGCTATTCAATTCCCCTATCTTCTCCACCCTCTTTTCCCCTCTCTATTTGTAAATAATGTTGTAGATGACTTCTCTCACTTTGCTTTTGTTTAGCCTGGGCTAAAGGTGCGATATTTATACTCCCTCGGGTAAATCTTTTTGAAGTATGTTATAAATGTCTACTATATATAGACATCTGGAAAAATATGATGGAGAGTAGGATTTTAAGTATGAAATCAGAGTATTTTGTTGGCAATATGGGTTATAAATGTGGACTCATGATAATGTGTAGTGTAACATTTTTAAATAACCAAATTAGGGCTTTGATATTCTAGGGTGCGGCCTTTGAATTTTGGGTTTTTCATATTTGAACGATGCAAGTTACAAGGTACTAGATAACAAGTCCACCTCCGGACTTGCCGGGCATCTAAGAAACAAAACTATGTTGCCATATCCATCGCTTAGGGTTGTCCTGCACTAGGGGGTACCAACCTAGTTGGTATGCAGTCCATGGGTTGATCTTACGGCCCGCCGATCTCAATAAGCAAGGACTCTGGAAGCCTCGAACCCAGGCGTGATCAAGATGGACACTGCCAAAGACTTGGCGTATACTTCAAGGATAACTCCAGTTGTCCGCGTGTTTATTCCTAGTTGGTAACAAACCATATGTAACCCTAGATCTCCCCGGTGCCTATATAAACCATGGGGTTTTACTCCGTAGAGGCATAATTACAATTACCAGCCTTAGAGTATCGAACACAACATACGACCTCGAGGTAGATCATCCTGTACTGATACCCCATCATCAATATAATCAAAGCAGGACGTAGGGTTTTACCTCTTTGAGAGGGCCCGAACGGTAAAACATCATGTCCCTTGTCTCTTGTTACCCATCGTTTTAGATCCACAGCTCGGGACCCCCTACCCGAGATTTGCCGGTTTTAGTACCGACATTGGTGGTCCATGCAGGTCCCACTATGTGGTCATAAAAGAACGATGGCTCGCCTCCAGATCAATAACAACATCGACTGCAGGGACATCTTTGTCCCCAGCCAACTCCTCGCGTTCGACAGTGTTGTTCTTCATGCTAACCCTACTGAAAGGGCATGTAGCCCCTAAGTGTGGTTTTGGTAATTAAATGACAATCTCTATGGACTAATGTTTTTAGTGAGATATATTTGAAGGTTTTGTCCATAGATAGTGCCTCAAGGATATTGGACGGAATCAAGGATGAAGTCCGTATATATGAAGATAGTGCCTCAAGGATATTGGACGAAATCAAGGATGAAGTCCATATATATATGAAGATAGTGCCTCAAGGATATTGGACAGAATCAAGGATGAAGTCCATATATATGAAGATATATTTGCCCTATGCTTTGGTACTAAATGACAATTCCTATGGAGCATCAAGTGCATTGAATCTTATATGAAGATATGTTCCATAGTGATGCTTGAAGTGCATTGGGCTGTTTTGTGAAGTCTGCCATCAAAGCATCCGAAGAAGTCCTCATGGTATCCTTCTCTGGATACCCCATGCACACGGGCTTGTACCGTGCGCACGGGGTCGAGTGTCAACTTCTGGATACCCCATGCTTACTTGGCCTAGGTGTTGGCTCTCGAGATCCCATATCCAGTGAGGTTTCAAGTTGGTCTTCGGGTACTTCTATTGAAGCCATCAAGATTGGTTTCAATGCCTAATCTAATTATGTTCATGATGGGGTGCATTGGAGGATCTCAAAGATTGATATATTTGGGCTTCTGAGGATCAAGGCTTGAGAGAGAGTAATCAAAGAGAAGAATTCAAGTTATGGTCTCAAGACAAGATCATGGTGAGATCATGTGTTGGGTTTCGGTTGATCAAGTCTTGAAGCAAGCAACTAGAGTGACAAATTCATTATGCCTCTCAAGAGATTGTGATGGAGTTTTTAGAGGGGCAAGTGGTGACCAAGATGATATTCATAGTGGAACTTGATATGGTCATGGAAGAGTCTTTGGTGATATAGTCTTGAAGCAATGAAGGGAAATGAAGAGTTCATTGTGGCTTTCAAGAAACCAAGATGGAGCTTCGAGTAAAGATGTTGGTTGACCAAGATGAAGCTCAAAGATTATATCTAAGTGGTCAACTCTCAAAGCACAAACATTGTACCACGTGAGATCAAGTGATCTAGTGGTATGGTAAGTAATTGTGAATTGTGCTTTGTTACCTAACCCATGCTATGTGTTTGGTATGTCTATGTGGGTTAGGTGTTTCTCATGGGCTTGCATCAAAAGGAAAGATCTCAAGTAGCCTATGTGTGGATGACATCAAGTGGTGATGGTCATCGGGTTCGAGGATTCCAAGTGCAAGATGAGAAGCCAGAGGTTATATGCTTTGAAGCTTGCGGTCCACATCATGATAATGCTCATGTGAAGATGGGCTTAAGTTAAGGCTTCCCTCATTGCAATATGAGGAATCAATTCAAGCATCTTCACCAAGTGGTTGTGGACAAGAAAGGGATTCCAACTTGAGACAAGCATTGGAGTCATCACCAAGCTCAAGTTGAATATGCAAGGCAAAGGTATACCTTAGCTAGGTTTTCCTAGTTTTGCCGGTCTCATGGTGCTTGGAGGGAGACCGGATTATAGGTTTGATAGCCGTACTATCAAGAGGGACTCTCGGGCAAGTAGCTTGATCATGTCGCATGTAGAGAGCTCAAACCTTTGCATTACTTGCATCATTATTTATTTTTGATCTTGGGTGGTTCTCTATGTGAGGACCTTGGGCTTTTCCATAGCTTCAAAACAAGCCCAAGATCATCGAATTCGGAGTCCGTATGCCAAAGTTATCACTGTTTTAGTGGGCTGCTGCAGGCTGTTCTGGGTACCCCGTGGACACGGGGTTTTTGACCCCCGTGGGCACGGGGCCCCGTGCACACAGGCCTGTACCGTGCGCACGGGACCCTGTGGGCACGGGGTCTAAACCCCCGTGGGCACGGGGTGTCCAGGAAGTGCCCGTTGGAGCCCCAACGGCTAGTTTTGGAAGTTGGCTATAAAAGAGCCCTTCCTCCCACCGGTTTGGGGGTTGTTCATTCACATTCTAAACATCGTTTTGAGCCTCTTACCACCTCTCCCAAACCCCTATCCCCCTTCTAAGTGAAGGGTGATTTGTGGATGGATCTTGGAGTCATTTGTTGATTTCCTCCATTGCATCCCCTCTCTTCAATCTCCCACTTTCTTGAGTTGCATCTTGTGAGATTGAGAGAGTGAGTTGAGCATTTGTTG